AAAGACAGTTCTCGGGCAGTATTAATTTTTTAAAAATTATTTATCGGTTCTACTGCATAGAACTCTGTAGAAAACGCTTAAATATGTTCGGAACTATGCGAGAACTATTTGTATAAAGCCAGAACTCCGTCATTTCGGACAGCAAATCATCTCTATCTGCCTTAAAGACAGTTGTCGGGCAGTATTAATTTTTTAAAAAATTATTTAACGATTCCACTGCATAGAACTGTGTAAAAAATACTGAAATAAGTTCGGAACTATGCGAAAACTATTTGTATAAAGCCAGAACTCCGTCATTTCGGACAGCAAATCATCTCTATCTGCCTTAAAAACAGTTGTCGGGCAGTATTAATTTAAAAAAAAATTATTTATCGATTCCACTGCATAGAAGTGTGTAAAAAATACTGAAATAAATTCGGAACTACGCACGAACTATTTGTATAAAGCCAGAACTCTGTCATTTCGGACAGCAAATCTTCCCTATCTGCCTTAGACATTTTTCGGCCAGTATTAATTTTTTAAAAATTATTTATCGGTTCTACTGCATAGAACTCTGTAGAAAACGCTTCTACGAGTATATGTTCGGAACTATGCGAGAACCATTTGTAGAAAGTCAGAACTCTGTTATTTCGGACAGCAAATCAACTTTGTCTCCATGAGGATATATTTGTAGAGTGATAAAAAATTTTTTAATTATAAAAACAATGTTTTTTCGCCAGAACTCTTTCTAGAACTATTGTAGAACTCTCGTTCGATAAAAATCCTAGCAGAAATAATTAGGAAATAATCCGGGGACAAAGTGATTTGCAGCGTGAAGTTAGCAAATCTGTTCGCGTTTCTCTTTTGGGAGAGCTCGCTGGACCGCTGCGGTTGGAAGCAGGGCTGAGAGGACTTTGCGGCGAGAGACTCGGGGAACGGATGCACGCGTGGGGGGGGGGGGGAATATCACGTGATCGTAACTCAGTTCGTGTTGAATAACATACCGTGGTCTGTTTAATAAATATAAAAGGCTTACAGTGTGAGCAGTCTATGATTTAACGGGGATGATCAGTCTCTTAGTCACTTGCACGGTTCGATTATGGTTACGGTCAAGCTGCCGCTATAAGTTCTTCGAAGCGTTTCTCCTCTCTTTCTATCTTTGCTGTAAGAAAAGAGAAGAAGAATACTTCGTAACATTCGAAGCGACAGCTTGACCGCAGCCGATATTAAGAGGATCCCGTAGCGGGTCTGTTTTACCGACAAAATTACCATTTTCGTAGTTATAACCTTTCGTCGTATTAAATTCATGGAATCAAAAATGCTTGCGTACAATGACAGTATATGCATTGATGATCCCAGGAAACTCCAATTTTATACCAAAAATGAGTCAAAATTACAAAATTCATATGATCGATCACATATAACCTCAAAGACGCGAACTGTCACTCCGTCATACTTGTGCTTCGTATAAAAGTTCTACAACTTGTACTCACATGAAACTGAGTTTCCTAGGATTCGATGACATGTAGAATTACTGTGAAACCCTCTAAATTGGGATTAGACGTTTAAAATAAGAGTATAGTTAGTACAAAACTTTCGTGTTTATGTATGGGTGTGATGTATCGTAGTAGTGTGTCCGTGTGCTCATGTATATACGAAAATGGTAATTCTGTCGGTAATACATAGATGTCGGTAGACCCGCTACGGGATCCTCTTAAGCGATAGCCGGCCTCGTGAATGTAGATGCCCGTGAGCCGTGTCCACGCGGCGCCGGCGTGCGATGCGTGGTGAGCTTGAGCTGCAGTTGATGCTGTATCTAATGTGTCCTTGATGATTTGCACTGCTGAGAGTTCACTGCGTGTCCGCACTGAGTCTATTCTTCGATGAGAAAATGAGAAAGTCCACAAGAGAGCACTTGATAACTATCCGCACGTCAAGACGCGTGTACCACGTACGGTCGCTATGAGACAAAGAGCCCCGGAAACGTACGTGAAGTCGCGCGGTCGCCTCGCGTCGCGATCGGGCATGCGCGGGCAGCGCTCATGCGGCGCTGCACGATCTGACCCGGCTGATGCTGCCATCACGCCGGGGAAGAAATAAACGAGATTCAAATTAATCTCGAACAAAATCAGTTTGCACTTTTCAATTTTTTGGCCTTAAAAGCCAGAACTATGTGTTAAATGTATCAGGAACTCTAGAACTATTAGAAAGGAAGTCAGAACTCTAAAAAATTATTGATTTTCCACGAAATGAGATGCCAGCTTCACACACACAAAAATTTCGCCATTCTAACGTGACGTCTTATGCCCCGACACGAAATCTATCACTGTCTCGTAAGTTTTAATTCGCTAAAGTATCATTCTTGACGACGATGCAGAGCGACTTTAACGTTGGCGCGTGAAAATCGCAAGTCACGAAAGGTAAAAATTTTCGAAATCCCAGATTCTCACGCGATATTCCTATGCCCCGATACGAGTTTTATTAATGATTCTTATCAGTCAAAGCGCTAAAACCGGATTGCAGCACACTTTAAGATTCCGCACGAGAAATTGACAGGTGCAGAATAATAAAAATTTTGCAGTTCGGACACGATTGCCTATTCTCAAGCACAAAATCTAACGATGTCTCGCAATTCTTGATTCGCTAGAGTCATTGGCGATGATCCATCCACTCTAAGGTTGGCGCAGAAAGATCGCGAATTTCGAAAACTAAAAATTTTTGATTTCTAACGCGATATCCTATGCTCCGGCATTAAATCTGACGATGTCTCGTAAGTTTAAATTCGATAGAGTGTCATTCATGACAACGATGAAGCGTGACTTTAATGATCCCGCGTAAAAATAGCAAGTCCGAAACGTAAAAATTTCAAGTTTAAACGCGATATCCTATGCCCGTCATTAATTCTGTCGACGCCTCATAATCTTTAAGTCGATAGAGTGTCATTCATGACGACGCTGCAGCGCGACTTTAGGTAGGCGCGTATGAATTATAAGTTCCGAAACGTAAAAATTCCGAGTTTAAACGCGATATCCTATGCTCTCGTATTTATTCTGACGACGCCTTGTAGTTTTTAAGTCGATAGAGTGTCATTCGTGACGACGCTGCAGCGAGGCGCGTAAGAATTATAAGTTTCGAAACGTAAAAATTCCGAGTTTAAATGCGATATCCTATGCTCTCATATTTATTCTGACGACGCCTTGTAGT